TGTGGCATCTAGAATCTGGATTCTAGAAGTTATGTACTCAGCTGTATAATTTCTATTGCTGGTTAAAACATGATTTTCCCCAATAAGTCTTTAACCCAAGATCTTGAAAAGTAGTGGAAGGTGTGTTGAATATATACATCAATAATTCTTTGAGTATGAATGTCATAAATGTATTCTAGGCGAGATATCACTCAGTGCAGCAACCAGTGGTTTTAACAATTTAGCAAAGACTCTTAGAGCCAAGCTTAACCACTATGCCATTCACGTAAATTGATACAGTGTACTTCTCCTACGGAAGCGCAAGTCTTCAGCATGTGTTTGGGCTCAATAAAGACTCTTAGAGCCAAGCTTAACTACTCTGCCACATAGATATATAATTGACTCAGTGTACTTCTCCTACGTAAGAGTTTTGAGTGAATAATGATTCATCCTTGAAATCAATTTATATCGTTTCCATGTGTATTTTACATTTTTTTAAATGAATCTAAGGTTTCCATCATACAATGACTGTAATTGATAAACACAGTATGTATCTTTAGCTTAAAAATCAGTCATGATTTATTAGTGTGTTATTGTCTGATAAATATGTTAGAGCATGTTGCCCTTCTTCTTTTGTGGTCAGCTCGATTATTCCTGAACATAATATTTCTTCTATCTAAATCAATACGTTTTCCCTATCTGACTGAATCGGTTTAGGTTCCTGTTACAAATGGGGATGTGTGTCAGATGAGAATTTTAAACCTCTAACTATCCCTACGGCGTGATCATCAGAAGTGTTTTATTCTACTGCACAAATTTCTATGCTGTAAGCACAAGTTCAACCTTCGCCCCTTTTGTTCAGGTTTCATGATCGGTGATGGAATTCCTCGACTTTTCTGCCAACCCATTGCATGCAGCTCACTTCTAATTGTCTCCTTACAGACAGCCACAGTTCCTCTATCAATCATATCCAGCCTTAAGTTTTCTAAACTCCTTCGTTTGTTTTTAGAAACAAGAATACCAAGCCGCCTCCTGTCACCAACAGTCAATTTTCTGGGCCTACCTGCGCCTCCCTGGTGCTCAGTGCCATATCCATTTGCAATATTTTTCAAAACACGATAAACAGTGGACAAAGGGATGCCTGTTCTACTTGAAATCACTTTAGCTGATCTGATGTCCTTGTTATAATACTCTAAAATCAACTTCCTCTTCTCTATATCATCCATCGGGGGTGAAGCGTAGATATATCGCCGCAAAAACGTGATTTAAACGTAGCCAATCGGCCAATACTGGGTGAACTCGTATCAACAACGGGTGCTCAATCGCAGTGTTATCGGTATTTATACGTAAGTCTACAGTTTCTTCATCGTCCATTACGTAGGTTTACCGTAGATACTGCGTAGAAAAGGAAAATATTAACAAAATCTGGCCGATTGAGAACGATAACATCGTAGGTGACGAATCGGCACTAGTCGGGATAGTCTTGATAGGTCGTAGCCCAGTGAAATGGGGGCATAAAGGACCATGTGATGTCCTGAAGGATGACGTCCATCTGTTCCACTCAGGAACTAGCTTGTATTCAATTTGAACTTAGTCCTAGCAAAGGATACACATATGCGTGATACTTAAAAGTGATGGGGATCTTAAGTAATTGACGTGGAACTGCCATTATGAATTGCCTGTTATTCAAAAGCCAACGAGATTATACTGATCTGATTGAAGTAGCCATGACAATACCGCCATGCTCCGTGTCATTACGTCCACCACGCCAGCTGATCGATACATGAACTATACAAAATGTAGGTTGTATAGTATTCACTGTTCTGTTAGGTGTATGTCTTCTCCTTTTACAGATAGCCTTTTGTTGAATAATTTGGAAATAAACATTGAAATAAATAATAAACATCTTAGTATTCTTTCATTATTTTGTGGACCATGTGGCTTTGTGGTCGGAATGTGCGATGTAGTGGTTACCGAGTGACACATCTACAGAAAAAAATACTCACCAACATTGAAAACGCACCAGACTAAAATTGTCCATATTTTCATCAAGATGGACTTTAGCATGACAATAATCAATGGATATGACTAACATGAAGTCCAAGGGCATCAACATGCAGACACGCCATGAAAAATGTGCGAATTTCATTCTGACATCATGCATACTTTGACCTTAAAAGCAGGTGTATGAGAAACGATTCTCATTGCTTTGCTAACGATAGCGAATTGAGATGCCGAGGTTAACACCTCACGAAAGAGAACGTGCATGAGTCAGGTTGGCACCAGCAGCAGGGATATTGCTTGACAACTTGGACTTGGCCACTCCACCATCGTTAGGCTTCATAGACGACATCAGCAGATAGGCAGCACCCGTGACCTTCCACGACCTTGACAACAAGTGAAATGGTATACTTCTCTGTGATGTTCATGTAATTTTGCAGGTCTACCTCTTACTTAAAAAGTTTCTGATTACTTGTTTTTAGGAAAGATAACACAATGTAATTCTTAATTGTCTGATTCACTAATGTCAACTACAACTAAATAAAGGAACACTTCTATGTCTAGTCATTGTTTGTGTCGTATCAAGTGTTTGCAGAATACTTTGCAGATGGTATTCCACCTTTTAAAGGCTACTGTTTGATTTAAATGGATATTTGATATTGGAATACCCTTCACTCACAATGAATTGGAGATTTCGCGGTGGTCGAACTGACTAAAGCACCAGGCTAGTGATCCAGCGAGCTTGAGGTGACGGGATCGAGCCCACCTGTGACCGGGTGTAAAAACCTTGGAGTCAACTTTGTTGTGCAGACTCTTTCAGTGTTGTCACAACCCCTAGTGTACAGTACACAACCCTGTGCACTTAAAAGAACCCACGAATACGTTGGTATATGACCAGATGGTGGCCATCTGAATACGTGCAAACACCCAGTTGCGGGTACAGCAACGTGCAGTAAACTTGGACAAAGTACTGTGACTATGTGTCCCAGTCCACCCAGCTGTGAATGGGTACCTCGTAAGGATGGGAATGCCACAATAACTCGGTGCGCCTAGTGGCTGCAAGAGTTGTATGCTCCCCAGGGAGTTGAGATTGACAATACGATGTGCCGTTGAGATTGACATCCAGTGAACGAAGGAAAAACAAAGCCCCTTTGAGCAGCTGAGATGAGCTGGATATCGGCGTTATACAAATGTTAGGTGAGGTGAGGTGAAACTGGGTTTCACGTCGTGCTTGAGAATATTTCGCTCATATGACGACGTACATGCGTGTGTATGTGTGGCTGCTTGTACTAGCCCAGACTGAAGCTGGTTTTATAGTGCTAGCCCACTGAGATACCAAGCATGAATACCCCACTCAGACGAATTATACTGACTCCGAGCCGACCAGTCCTTGTTGTACCCATTAATGCCGAGCGCCAGGCTGGGACCAACAAGTACCATATTTTAACGTCTTTTGGTATGCCGCGGTCGGGGATCGAACCCGCGACATTCCGCTCTCCGGGCGGACGCTCTAATCAATACACCACGGAGGCGGTCACAAATGTATGTATGTATGTATGTATGTATGTATGTATGTATGTATGTATGTATGTATGTATGTATGTATGTATGTATGTATGTATGTATGTATGTATGTATGTATGTATGTATGTATGTATGTATGTATGTATGTATGTATGTATGTCTAACTGACTGACTGAGTTTGGTTTTACGCCGCGTTTAGCAATATTCCAGCAACATCACGGCGGGGGACACCACGTACCCATGTGGGGATTCGAACCCGGGCCTTCGGCGTGACGAGCCAACGCTTTAACCATTAGGCTACCCCACCGTCCCATGTATGTATGTATGTATGTATGTATGTATGTATGTATGTATGTATGTATGTATGTATGTATGTATGTATGTATGTATGTATGTATGTATGTATGTATGTATGTATGTATGTATGTATGTATGTATGTTTGTTTGTTGTTTAACACCGCACACAGCAATATTCCAGCAATATGGTGACAGCCTGTAAATAATCGAGTCTGAACTAGACAATCCAGTGATCAACAGCTTGAGCATCGAGCTACGCAATTGGGATATGATGACATGTGTCAACCAAGTCAGCGAGCCAGACCACCCGATCCCGTTAGTCGCCTCTTACGACAAGCATGGGTTGCTAAAGACCAATTCTAACCCGGATCTTCATGGGTCGAAGCAATGTGATAGGCAATTGGATGATTAAGGTCTCTTTGCACACTGGATGGGGGAATTTCCGAAGTTAAAGAAAAGGTGTTCTAAAAATTACAGGACTCAGGACTTGCTTGTGTTCAAATGTTTAAAGTAGAAATTGTTTGTGTGAGCCTTACTTCTACATTACAATTGTCGAAACATACACGTGTTCAAATCAAGGCCGGTTGTCAGTCACATGAACACATTGAATATATTTTAAGATTTAACTTTAAGATGTCTTAAATTTTTACACTTTAAACAAAAAAGTAAATCAAATAAAGTGAAATTAAGATTGCGAATCCTCATAATTTTACCTACTGAACATTTAAATCTCAGAATTTTATTCAACTTAGGATAACAGTTGTTTAACAAACGATCATAGTTTTCACATTAAATGAAATACCGAGAACAAGTAGGGTTGGTCTAAGTTAACGCTCATCACGTACTGCACGTGCATTTGTATCACTGTTCGCAACTACTGCGTTCACCCCCTTGTAATACAAACCAATAATAGCGATTAGAATCTATGATCGTTTGTTAAACAACTTTTATCCTAAGTTGTATAAAATTCTGAAATTTCCATTTTCAACTGGCAAGGTAAAATTATGAGGATTCGCAAACTTAATTTCAATTTATTTGATTTACGTTTTTTGGTTCAAAGTGAAATTCATCAGTACGTTTTCACCACAACCAGGCTATAATACCACGAAGTATTCAAAACAATATATCTTTCTTCACACATCACGTTAAACACACATTATGACAAAACAAACATGCAGGAACTACACGTAACAAAATCGTTCAGTATATATATGTTTTATTTCTTTCACAGGAATCATCGTCTGAAAAGATGAGAAAACATGCGTTAAAACAGTAATACGTTTCATGGGGTTTTCACGCACATTGGTAACGTGACTGCAGGTTTTGATCAAAGATGCGTGACTTATTAGTAAGTCCTTCCAATATTCTGGTAATATGACTGGGGAAGGAACAAGGTGTTTTACATATTGCACCCATATGGATAACAGGACCGTACTTCAACATGACGTGCGAAACTTTTAACCACCAGGCTAGTCCACCGTCCCTGATCACAAATGCATGAACGGCTCTATATACAAGATACACTCAGACTCGTCTTGTCAAATAAGAAGTTGAAACATGTACATACTCTCTACTGTATAGTCATTTTGAAGCTTACCTATAGTTTGGCATGAAATGCATGTGGACCCGTTTTTTTGTAAATATCTCTTCATCCAATGACCCAATCGATCCCAAACTGTGCAAGTGGATGTTTTGTCAGACAACCTAATCACATTGTAAATCACCGAACAAGAAATATACATATGGAACTGAGCCCATAAGAAACTATCCTTGAATGTCAGTTAATACCTTCGTTGAGGTGGTCTTCCCGGCCTTTCTTCGGAACCATCAGATCCTTGTTCCTTTTGCCCTTCGGGGCCTTTGCCGCCTTCGCCTCTCTGACCTTCGGATCTTTCACCTTTCTGACCTTCGGAACCTTCGCCTTTCTGACCTTCGGAGCCTTCACTCCTCTGACCTTCGGAGCCTTCGCCTCTCTGACCTTCGGGGCCTTCGCCTCTCTGACCTTCGGGGCCTTCGGAGCCTTCGCCTCTCTGACCTTCGGGGCCTTCAGAGCCTTCACCTCCCTGACCTTCGGGGCCTTCAGAACCTTCACCTCTCTGACCTTCGGGACCTTCGGAGCCTTCACCTCTCTGACCTTCGGGGCCTTCGGAGCCTTCACCTCTCTGACCTTCGGGGCCTTCAGAACCTTCACCTCTCTGACCTTCGGGGCCTTCAGAACCTTCACCTCTCTGACCTTCAGGGCCTCGGAGCCTTCACCTCTCTGACCTTCGGGGCCTTCGGAGCCTTCACCTCTCTGACCTTCGGGACCTTCGGAGCCTTCACCTCTCTGACCTTCACCTCTCTGACCTTCGGGACCTTCGGAGCCTTCACCTCCCTGACCTTCGGGGCCTTCGGAGCCTTCGCCTTTCTGACCTTCGGGGCCTTGTTGTTGTGCTTGCCTGCGTGGTCGGGATTCTCCCATACCCTCAGGAGGGGGAGGACAGCCAGTTGGTGGAGGTGGGCCCTCGCCTTCCCCCTGAGGGGGTCGCGACCAACATGTGGCAACAAAGGAGAGCGCAAGTAGTACCAACAAAGTCTTCATAGTGAGAGTGGTGGTCTTGTCTCGACACAGAACAGCTTTTATACACTTCCAGTCCAAAACCAGATGGCTCTTCATTACCTCTTACTAATTACCACTGAGGAGGCGGTATTGCGTACGTTGTCAGCGAGGGATTAAAACATTCAATTTAAAATATGTATTGTTCATAATAGGACTGTCCTTACGAAGACAAAGAGCGAAATAGAAATGTGATAATGAATAGCTTGTTATGTCAATAATAGACTGTCGCAGGACCACGTTTCAATCGACGATGACATGTCTTATTACATGATCAAATATGCTTTCATGGCATAACAAATTAACAAGGAAATAATGAATGCAAACATTTATTCCAAATCAACGTTCATTGATTTTAAACAGCTGTTGCGACGGGACGTATGATGAGGAATGTGTGTATTGCTAACGTCAGTGATATTCCAACTTTATTACACTGGTGTGCAAATAACAAGAGTCTGGATCAGACACACCAGTGCCTGAAAGCAAGAGCAACGACTAATTTGAATCGGACACCGGATACTTATTAGGCAGCTGACAAAAAAAATCATATTTTCATGCTTTACTGCTGTAAGTTTGTCGAAGACTACATGCCGATGTGATAATGCTATACCTATGTTGTGCCTATATACCGCTTCAAATAAATGCCTCCTTTCGAAAAAAACCTTTTGAAATACTTAGTTTGAATCAGGGACACTTTTAAATGAAAGTGTTGCAACGTAAGATTCTTTTATAGGGAGTACTTATGTGGTCTATGTTATTTAGGCCTTTCCTGTATTTTCACGAATCCCCGGAAATTTCAAATTTAAAAATATCTAAAACAATACAGATAACTTAAATACATTCAACAAAATATCAACATATCTAAATGAAGAGTCACTTTTTACTGCTCAGATACTACCTCACTAAAAAGAACGTCCAAGATATTGGTCTTTATTAATTAAGATAGAAGTTACATAAACAGACCCAGAAATATTGTCAATTACACGAGAAAATATGGTAACCAAAGTCGATAGAAGATAATATCTGTGACGTAAAACGTTATCATCTACGTAGATGAAAGTATCTTCTACGTAGTTATAGGGCTTAATATATCTATCAAGTTTAAAGGCGAAACAATTAAATGTTGTTCAAAGCTTGAATTGTTTTCGTCCATAAAAGATTACTTTCGGCATCATAATTGCATTAGATTAATTGATGTCAAAATCTATATAATGAATATTGTAAGATTCCTCAGATCAAACCATAGACTTCAAGTAGAAACGGCAGATATCACAAAATACCAAGACATGAAAAGTTTTGCCCATTTAGTATTATCCCAAACGCTGAGTGTGCACATTTTATTCGGATTAGCGCACCAGTCATATTCCACAATATCAACTATTGGCAAAATGTTCATTTTCATGTAACAAACTCAATGTCTGTAATAAACGTTTTTCTCGCTTTGAAAAAAACGTAATTCCTTTTTCAAAGAAAAACATGTTGTTTAGCAACATCGTGTATAGATTGTATTGTTTTGTCTATACCATATACTGTTATATAATGTATAATTTAGTCATGTTTGTTCTCAGGGCTCTTGTCAAACAGTCGTTATCATGCTCTGTGCTAGTATAATGGGCCGGTGGACCTTGTACGCGAATAAAAACATCGGCTATAGAGCATTATCTACCATATACATGACCTCCCTAATAGATCACCAGAAGTTATATAGGTCTGTCATTTACATGTATTTCTAAATAGATCTCCATATGTTGTATAGCTTCATCTACCATCTACGTGAACTTCAAATTATGGACATTCCAAAGTAAGTATTTGCATTCTGAAATTAAAAACTACATTTCAGTTAAAAAAATGTGGACAGTTGTATTTCGCGTTTTGTTTCTTTAGAGACACACATAACAATCAGTTTCAGTATTTGCATTCTGAAACGAAATACCTTTCAATGAAAACAATATTTGATAATTAGTTTCTACGCTTTGTCCGTTTAGAGAACCAGATGACATAGCAATCAATTCCTTATATTTCCGATCTTTAGAGTCACATTTTAATCACCTAAGCTATGCTGATGATACAATGCAATGTTGACTCAATAGTAATTACGTTGAGTTAACAATACGTCAGCTGTCCTGGACTGGGAGTGTATAAATGGTGTGGTTTTGCCGGTACATCGCTTTCACAATGAAGAAGTTCCTGGTACTACGGGCACTCTGCTGGTCCAGTCCTCCTGGCGTTGGCCACCCACCCATCCCAGGATGCACAAAGGAAGATGACTGTCCTCCAATCCAGCTAATGTACACAAGCGCCATGGGAAGGTGACGATCCCCTCCACCAACCGGATGTCCTCTCCACTTCTAGAAGGTCAAGGTCAAGAACCAGGTGCTGGAGGTCCTGATGGAAGAAGGACTGTCTCCTCCACCCATGGACAAGCGTACATTCAGAGTGAGAGTATTCGTTCCCTCGACTTCACTTTATGATTACTTACGTTAACATTTACATGTACTTGCAAACTTTTCCTTTGCCTTCAAATGATGTCTAAAGACCAAATGTACTTTCGATTATTTTGTGATGCCTAGGTCCAATCTGAAAATATTAATGAATTACTGATCATATAGGTGAAGAATATAATACGTATATATATATATATATATATATATATATATATATATATATATATATATATATATATATAGGTAAGATAAGTAGCGGTATGATCTATGATAATTATGTATTGTAATTTCATTCGCAATGAAACTACCTGACTACGAAGCTGTCTTGCCAAAAAAAATCGTAGCTACTTAGGACTAAAATTGCGACTGCAATAAGATACATCTACCGCAAAGTTGTCTTACAATACAAGCTGAGAGGGCTCTGAGTGAGTGTGAGTGAATGAGTGTGTGAGTATAGTGTAACGCCGCTTTTAGCAATATTCCAGCAACATCACGGCGGGGGATAACAGAAATGGGTTTCACGCAGTGTACCCATGTGGGGGATCGAACCTTGGTCTTCGGCGTGACGAGCGAATGCTTTAACCACTAAGCTACCCCACCGCCAGGAAATGGCTCTGAAGTGAAGGAGTTAAAATAAACTGCAGGTTATCTAAACAAGTCATTCATTATTCAGGAATTTCCTAACTGCAATTCATATATGAATTTGCGATGTTCATTTGCTTTTAAAACAACTTATTATAAGTCTGAAATTATGTGTTAATTATGTGACAGAGTATGTATTTATGAGTGAGTGAGTGAGTAAGATTTTACATCGCATCGGCAATATTGCAGCCATATAGCGATGAGAACAAATGAGTTTATGAATCAATAGTAATGATAAAGGGGGTTTGCGAAAAGGTGAGCGTATCTTGCCCCACCGGTGGCACCCATCATAAACACATGCAAAGTCTAGTCAATTCTTCATCCGGGATGAACGTGTGGTACAATCTGCAGCCATCAGTATCAGTTCAAGTTTCTCTCTGTGCAACATTTAGACAAGTTGATACTCGTGAGGATTCAGGTTAGAATTGATATTAGGAACCCATGCTTGTCATAGGAAGCGACAAACGGGATCGGGTGGTCAGGATCGTTGACTTGGTTGACACATGTCATCGGTTTCCAGTTGCGCAGATCGATGCTCATGCTCTTATGGATGTGGAAAGGGCATTGTATCACCATCAAGTCAGATCTGCGTGTGTAAGATATGGCTCCTCACCTTCACACTTCCGCCCCCGAATCTGTCTACCCGAAGAACGTTCAGACCAGGCACGTGTTTACAAGACGTTCATTTCGACTTCGGGAGACGTGACGTCATGTACCTTGTTGTTGAAGAAGAAATCGTGATTGATCACTGAACTTACTGTCGTTTCTCATTCCTGTACATTGCTGCTCCATTGCATACGTTTTCGTCGATGCGAACGTCTTCATACAGGTGTTGTGGGTCCAGTTTCCTCCGCGTCCTGTTTGTTTGGTCTCCTTCCTCAAACTAGGCACCTGTCCTACTGTCTCGGTGGGGTAGATTGATGGTTGAAGCGTTCGCTCGTCACGCCGAAGACTCGGGTTCGATTCCCCAATGTGTGAAGCCCATTTCTGGTGTCCCCCGCCGTAATATTGCTGGAATATTGCTAAAAGTGGCGTAAAATCATAACCATTCACCCCTGCTGTCCCAGTGGCAGTAGCCTGCCTATGAGAGATGTAACACTCTTGTTCAGGGGTGATGTACAACGTCTCTGGCGATCTTTGGTTGAACTGAGGCTGGTATACCGATCTCACAAAGGAGGTATGCAGCTCTGGTATATGTTGAAATGCGTGCAAACTACATACTGGGACTCTCCAGCGCCAAGACGTCCTGTGGTAGCATTCGTTAGAATATGGTACTAGTTGGCCGCCCTGCCTGGCGCTCGGTACATCAAGGACTGGTCGGCTCGAAGTCAGTATAATGTGTCTGAGTGGGGTATTTATGCTTCACTGCGGCATGGTATTTCAGTGGGCTAGCACTATAAGACCAGCTTCAGTCTGGGCTAGTACAAGCAGCCGCACATACATACACATACACACGCATGCACGTCGTCATATGAGCGAAATATTCTCAAGCACGACGTTAAACCCAATTTCACTTCACCTCACCTCCAATCCTGATGAGATGATACTTGGACCAATAAATTATGGGTTTCTTTCGCTATATACATCATCTGCAATTTAAGATCTCATGCAGCGTTCTTCAAAGGTCAACAGTGCGTCATTCTGAAGACAACTGCCCGAAAGGTATTAGTGACGGTTGATATGTATGTTATCAAAGGTCAAGAACACAAGCTATAATCCAAAGTCATTCTTAACACAAGTTTGTAAACTATAATAACCAGTGTCTTGAGTGAGTTAATATTTAACGTCACATCGGCAATATTGCAGCCATATCGTGACGAGAACACATTTGACATTGAAATGGAATATGTGTATATTATAAAAAACCTGTCATGAAAGGACAGTAAAACAACTAGAATAGACAACCCCAATAAGTCGACAAACGTATGACAAAATCTTGACTTGTTTGTTGATTGTCACAACTTGCTCGTGCAT